ATGGAACTGATTGAGGTCTCAAAAGTTAACATTTTAGAGTTCTTGGTTGATGCTAACTTTTGAGACCTCAATCAGTTCCATCTAGAGTTCTTCAGGCACCTCAGAGACATCAACAAGGTGTGGCTGAAATGTTAATTTCAGTGTGAGGTCATGATTGTCAAATTCAGTGAACTTTTCACTGTATTCTTCAGGTGAGTCAATAACAGCAGAATATTCTTCAAATGATTCACATGAATCCTCCTGCTCATTAAGGGTCTTCGCTACCTGGAGAAAGTTTTCTTTCGAAATTTTTCTATTCGAGCAAGAAGGGTTTTTTAAAAAATTTAAATTTTTTCTCGAAACCTTGGATTTTGAGCCATACATATATAGACTTAGTTTTGTCTTGCAAATAAATATTAAATAGTTTATTTTGGGACTGTTTCAACAGAAATGCCCCATTTTTAGGGATCCCTTTCTTTTAAATAATTCACAAAGTGTTTCTCTTCTCCATAAATTAATGATTAGTCCGCAAAGACAAATTTTGATAACAATGTCTGTCCCTTTTTAGCCAGCGCACTTGTTGTTCCCTGTTTTAGCCAGCGCGCCTGCTGCCCCGTTTTAGCCAGCGCGCCTGTCGTCCCTGTGTTAGCCGGCGCCTGTCTGCCCCGTTTTAGCAGCGCCCTGTTGCCCTGTTTAGCCAGCGCATGTTTTCCCCTGTGAACCGCGCCCGCTGTCCCTGTTTTCCATGCACCTGTCTGCCCCCGTGATAGCCGCCCCCTGTCTGCCCCTGTGTTAGCCACCGCACTTGTCTGTCCCTGTGATCCAGCGCCCCCTGTCTGTCCCGTGTTAGCCAGCGCACTTGTCGTCCCTGTGTAGCCAGCGCCCCTGTCTGTCCCTGTGTTAGCCAGTGACCTGTCTGCCCCTTTTTTCCAGCGCCTTTTTTCCCTGTATGCCCGCGCCCCCTGTTGCCCCCTGATAGCCGCGCACTTGTCTGCCCCTGTGTAGCCGCGCCTGTCGTCCGGATAGCCGCGCACCTGTCTTTGTATGCCCGGCTCCTGTCTGCTATGTGATACCAGCGCACCTGTCTGTCCCTGTGATGCAGCGCACTGTTTGTCCCTGTTTTACCCCGGCCCCTGTCTGCCCCTGTGTTAGCCGCGCCCCTGTCTGCCCCCTGTGTTGCCGCCACCTGTCTGTCCCGTGTTGCCACGCACTTGTCGTCCCCTGTGTTCCAGCCATGTCTGTCCCTGTGATAGCAGCGCACCTGTTGTCCCTGTGATACCGCCAACCTTTTCGTCCCTGTGATGCCACCCACTTGTCGTCCCTGGATAGCCGCGCACCTGTCTGTCCCTGTGATAGCCAGCGCCCCCTGTCTGCCCCCTGTGTACCCCAGCGCACCTTCTCCCCCTGTGTTAGCCAGCGCACTTGTCTGCCCCTGGATAGCCAGCGCACCTGCTGTCCTGTGAAAGCCAGCGCACCGTCTGCCCCTGTAAAACCCAGCGCACTTGTCTGCCCTGTGTAGCCAGCGACCTGTCTGCCCCTTGGGATAGCCAGCGACCTGTCTGCCCGGATACCCACGCACTTGTCTGTCCCTGTGATACCAGCGCCCCTTTCGCCCCTGTGAAGCCCGCATTTGTCTGTCCCTGTGATACCCAGCGGCCTGTCTGCCCTGTGAAGCCAGCGACGTCTATGTGATAGCCAGCGCTCCGTCTGTTTTGTGAACCCACGACCGTCTGTCCCGTGATACCCCCAGCGCCCTGTCTGTCCCTGTGAAGCCAGGCACCTTCTGCCCCGGTGATAGCCAGCGCACCTGTCTGTCCCGTGATAGCCAGCACCCTGTCTGCCCTGTGATGCCGCGCACCTGTCTGTCCCCTGTGATAGCCAGCGCACCTGTCGCCCCGGGGAAGCCAGCGCACCTGTCTGTCCCGTATACCCAGCGCGCCTGTTTCCCTGTGATAGCAAGCGCACTTGTCTGTCCCGTGTGCCAGCGCCCTTTTGGCCCGTGATGCCAGCGCACCGTTTTTCCTGTTAGCCACGCACCTGTCTGTCCCGTGATACCAGTGCCCCTGTCTGCCCCTGTGAAAGCCAGCGCACCTGTCCCCCCTGTGATAGCCACGCGCCTTCTTCCCTGTGATAGCCGCGCCCTGTTGTCCCTGTGATAGCCGCGCGCGTTGTCCTGTGATAGCCGCGCGCGTCGCCCCCTGTGTAGCCAGCGCACTTGTCTTCCCTGTGATAGCCAGCGCCTGTCTGTCCCTGTGTAGCCAGCGCATTCAAAGTGCGCCAAACCCAACAAATCTTTTCCCACAATGGGGTGATGAGTGTCTTCATTTTGATTTTCAGTATCACAAGTAAGTAAATATTTTATCTGGGGCAGAAAAAAAAAGTAATTTTTGCAATTTCCAAACATCTTAAAAGCTATTTTTTCCTTCACCCATTTTTTTGTTGTTTTTTTTTTAAATGATGGATTAAGGAACACAAAACAAAATTAAAAAATACAGAAACGGCCCCCGCTGTATAATTATTCTGAATTTTTCCCCTTTAGGAGTCACAGCACCTCAGAAAAGCAATAAGGGAATGGCCACAATCCCACCCTCTTCACCCATTTGCCCCGGGGGGGTGGTGGTGTTGGTCAGGTGGGGAACCTGCGGTCTACACTGCAGTAGCTTACTTTAGTTAGGACTTGGCTTGGGTTTGGGGTGGGGTTTGGGCAGGTGGGGAAAACCTGCGGTCACACTGCAGTAGCATTTCGTCATTAGGACTCGGCTGGGTGGTGGTGTTGGTCGGTTGGGGGGAACCCACGGTTACAGCTGCAGTACACTCGTCAGTTTTTGGGCTAAAAACATGAGGGTAAAAAACTTTCAATAAAAACAAAAGGAATTTCTTATGCAAAAAATTTTTCATTCGAAGGCCGCACTTAATGCATTTAGACCCCCAAAATTCCCCCCCTTGGTTAGGTCATCAGGTTGAGTTCCCCCAAATCTCCTTTACGTCATACCCCCAATTTAAAAACCAGTCATTGTGTGGTACGTCCCCTCAAGGAAGGTTCCTTGACGCTGGTGAGGAGCTCTTAATTAGGGAATTGGATCGTGCCCAGTTCCTAATGAGCCTGAATACCTTCCATCCCCCCCCCTCCCACATGCGCGTATTCCCACGAGTTTAGCGCTCCCCCCTAATTTAATAAAAATAATCGTGTGGGGACGTGTGAGAGCTTTCTACCCTCTCTGTTTTCCCCGTTTTACCTCCCTCCTAGTGTAAAACTCAAGTAGGTTTGGACCAGGATTTCCCATTCATGAAGCCGTGTTGATTTTCATGTATGGCCCTTTCTCTCTGTCCCCACCAATCTTTCCTGTAAAACTCTATTTACATAGTACAAGTCAGTGACAGGTCGTAGTAAAAAGCTGTCTGTCATTTTTTTCAAAATGGGAAAAACATTTGCTGTTTTTCACTCCCTTGGGATCTGCCCCGTTTTACCATTGTTATTTTTTTTCTTATTATTTTTGGGACTTTTAATTTTTGAAATTTTATTTTGTCAATTTAAATCTAGTTATACTCTTGATCTTTTTAACAATCTATACAACTATGCAATTTCAAGTACCATTTTAATTTTTATTTTTTAAATTTTTAAGTTTATACCTGTTGTACTTTACCTCATTCTAGCCAATACATAGCAACACAAACCAACTATACTAGTTGTACTTTAGCTTATTCTAGCTCAATACATAAAACACAAATTCATTTTATTAGACCCTTTGGCAATTAGAAAGGAGTCTGGTGCCATAGTAATTTTTTTTTATAGTATTATTTTTTTCCTGTTGTACTTTTAAACTATTCAGCACAACCCCAAAAGACAATATTAATTTTTATTATGTTTATTAGTGAACTTACTTATATGACCAAAGTGCTTTAGGGTATACTTTTCCAAACCTCCCCCACTACAGAAAAAAAGTACAGAACTCCCACAAAATACAGGATATAAAAAACCATTTTAAACCAAAAGATGAATGATCACGTTGACCTGATCTAAAACCCCCAGAATCTAACACACAATCAAAACTTTTTGGGAAAATAACTGCCTTTATTACACAGCACCAAGCCACACACCGAACCTGCTCAAAATCTATCAGTTTTTAACTAAACTCAGGTCCTTAAGGGAAACACTATGATGACCTCCCGGCACTCCTTGAGTCACTAAAGCCCCTTCTGCATTATTCTTACTGGACCGGTTAAGAGGACACAATTGATATCTACCCCCCTCAGGATAAAACAATCCAAACTGCAGACCTACCAAATTGGGGGGATCTGAATCAATTACTCTAAAACCCAATATCTTTTTTGCAAATTGCTTTAGTGATGAAAGGGGGGAAAGCTTTTTGCTTTTTTTCTGTAAAAAACCTCAAGACGCCATAACAAATCGGTGCCATATACCGGATACCCCAAAAAACACCCAAATTTCGTGAGATCCAAAAATTTACAATAACAAACAGACAATTTAACAAGCAACCACCTTTTTGTGGAGTTTTCAATATCAACTTGGCCTACCAGATGATCAGACTGTAACTGTTTTCATACAATATGAAAAACAACTTTCTCATACCACAATATTAACTAAACCAGGCTGTGAGCAAGTGAAACCTTAATTAACATTTAGACCACTATACTAGCCCCTTAATCAGGGTAATCACAGATAGCACTACGGGACCACTACCCTACCTTCCTCTTAATTAACAAACATTATTAAGCCCCCACTTAATACAAAAAATTTATTTAGACTCCATGACGAGCCTCATAAGGAATTTCACAGAGACCTAGGACTGTTGACTGGCCTACAGAATTCTCCAATGCCAATGGTATTGACGTTTGGGCAGACATTTTTCTTAAGAAAATACTTAGACTATACAACAAACATTGTCCTATAAAACGAACAGATCACGAACAAAACAGCTCGGTTGCCCATGGATAACCAGAAGCATTCTGAAATCCATTGATAAGAAACACCAATATGAAAAGCAAATAGACAGGGCTTA